AAGAAAGAAAGGGAAGAAAGAAAAGGAAGGAAGGAAGGAAGGAAGGAAGAAAGACGAGAGAGAGAGAGAGAGAGAGAGAGAGAGAGAGAGAGAGAGAGAGAGAGGATGTTGGGGACCAAAAGACTTATAGGCCTCTTAAAACTTTAAGTCTGGGTCTAACCAGACAAAGTCTGCTTATCAACACAGCAGGGAAGGTAGCTTTCCCTGATTCACAGTAAAGGATAGACTTGTAACTATGCAAAACAGCAAGGACTTGCAGAACCACCCTATACATACTCTGAGATTGGAAATAAACTTTATTTGTGTCCCTTGACTGTTCGTTAATCGTCGCCTCTCCTTCGGGAAACCCACGCAGTGGTCTGAGCAGGTCTCGGACCCCGATAGACATTATGCTGAGTAAAATTAGTCAGTTACAAAATGGCAAATATTTCATAAGGCTATTATTGTAAAAGCTTAAAAAAAGATACCCTTACTAAAAGGGAAAAAATAAATTATTTGTTGGTTACCTGTGGGGGTGGTGTGGCGAGGTTAGGAGGAGGTCGCGGGAGGCAACCATAGAATACAGGGTAGGGGGCAGAGGCATCATAGTTCAGGTGTTAGGGAGGGCAATACAGAGAAGCAGCGACATCAGAGTTGGAGGCAGAGATGAAGACATGAAGAGAGGGAGCAGCTGAGGACTCTAGACTCATGGAAAGAGAAGGACTGAGTGCTGGTGGCCAGGAGGCAGGCTTGCAGAATGTGCCCTTTGGTTGTTTAAATGAATATATATTCCTGAGTGTTTCTATGTACATCCCACACACACGAAAAAAATAACAGGGAATAGAAGCAAATACTGTTGCATGGAGAAGATTGTAATCATTGCAATAAAATGATGAGTGTAAAACCAATATTCTCCATGTAAATTATCACTCAATTCACAATAAAAACATTTTTTAAAAAGCATAAATAAAAGACAAGTGTCCTTTCATTTATACCAAGAAATAAAAAAATCCATCATCTATTTGTACTGAGAGCTCTTCCCAAACTTTCGCCAGAAGAAGAATGCTTTAACGTAAAAACCAACACCCAACTTCATATTTAAAAAACAAAAGGATGTCTTTTATAATCACAACTGTTTTATAATATTTTGGAAATTGTAGTGGCTGCAATAAAAGCAGGAACCATAAATAAGAGATATACCTGGTGTGGTACTGTATGATCAGCTCTGGACTGTGAACCACAGGTCAGCAATTCAAACCCACCAGCCACTCCTTGGAAGCACTGTAAGGGTCGCTATGAGTTGGAACCGATCCCACAGCACTGAACAACAACAAAGAACAGAATCCATGTAGCATTGCTGGGAGAGTTAATTGCTGTCATGCTGCCCTCCACCTCTGAACCCTTCAGTGTCTGTGTCCTAGAAGCAAAGACCTTCTCCTACATCACCACTACACAGTCCTAACAATCGTTGCTACACTTAGTGGTTGTGAGATTGAATTCATCAAGAAGAAACAAAGAATTATTGCTTTTAAAAAAAACTATTAGAGCTCTGATAGCGTAGTGGTTACGAATCGGGCTGCGAACCTTAAGGTCAGTGGTTCGAAACTACCAGCCGCTCCGTGGGAGAAAGATGAGGCT